CAGTAGTCATGCTGGGAAATGTGAAACCCTCATAGCTGAAAGTTCTTCTTTTTCTGTCAAACCAAAAGGAAGAGAAAAATAGGTTTGAAAGAGAGAAGCACAAAATCCTCTGAGGAAATTACTTCAACAACTAAATAGGGAGAGGTTGAGATAACAGACAGCTACCAGGTTGAGACAAGCTCGCAGGGGTCGTTAATCTTTGATAGTGTGAAGCTGTATTTCTTCCACTGAAAACTGACACCCGAAGTAGCATAGATCAAACAAAAATAGAGCTTCAGTTTTGAAGGCTCTAGGAGAAACAGGAAAGGATTAAGACCAAAAGGGTTAAGGCCGAAAAGGTTAAAGGTAACACAGAGAATTAATTCAATATACAGTGGTATTCGCATGCTTTTAATTTTGCCATACTTATTTGCCCTAGTCATAATATCCTGTGGAACTTTAATTCCAACTTTCAGAAAAAAATTATGATTGAATGAAAAAGCTCTCTGGACAGAGACTATGCTTTATACATCTATGTAGCTCTCTGGTACTGTTCACAGGCAGCCCACAGGGAATCTTACTAAATGAATAGGGAAAGAAATCCACTTGAACTCAAAGGACAGAACCCAGGGCCCAAGGCCAAACTCAGAAGCCTTCTTGTAGCATGTATCTGCAAATGTGTGGTGCTCTGGGTTGGAAGTGTGGCCAACTGGAAAATATAATGTCTATCCCCAAAGCATTCAAATTCGTTTTAGGTCTAAACCCCTGTGCCTTCCTAATGCTGCAGGTATGCATAGTTGTCCTTGGTAACACTGGCTAAGTGTCTGCTATGTCCTAGGTGTTAAGTCCTTTTGATAACTCAGCAGGATAGGTAATGTGCACCCATTGTAGAGAGAAGAAATAGGCCTATAGAAGTAAAATAACTAGCCTAAATTCACATACCTACTAAACAACTCAGATTGGTTTTTGACCAAAGTCTGCCTTCTCTTTCTACTTTTACCACATGGTTGACAGAAGCTTGTTGGAAGTGCGAGCGTAAGGAAACAGAAGCTTATGTAATAAACTGCAACTTCCAGCCTCTAAAGTGGCAGCAAATGTTTCATTTAATTTTACCTTGTTTTTGTACTCTACAATGATGGTACACGTTTTTATTCATTCCTAAAGAAGAAAATGTTTTACAAATGCTATTTTTTGAATTCACAACATTCCCATGAGAAGCTGAAGAGGAATTCTTCACTGTGTATATTTAAGTGAACAGAAAAACAGAAACCTAAAAGACAAAGATTATACTGTAGTCTTTTCAAAGCGACCCAGCAAGTGAGCAACGTGAAGGAGGAGGAACACAGTGGCTTGTGCTCCGTAATTAGTGTTCTAACTACAGCTCCCACTTCTATGCTTGAAATAATTGGGATTTTACCCTTGTATTTCATTATTTGGAGTTTTGAAATACAGTTGGAAGAAAATAAGATCTCTAAACAGAAAAAAAATGGAGACATTAATAGCAATGATTTATAAAAGTCTTTTTTTAAGTCTCAAAAATATTTACTCTCTAGGGTTTCTTAACTCTCAGCTCTCATAATACAATTAAATGCTTGTTTTGAATCTATTAGGTACTTAAACTAGACGTTGAAGTACAGGAATATTTCTTGAATATAAAGTGTTTGGAGCTCCGATGATTAAAGAGCACTATGAAGTGAAGGAAAGTATCTTAGAAATAACAATAATGACAAATAAATATTTAGAGTTTACCACCTAAGAGGCACTATGCTAAGTACTTTATAATTATTTAGTGCCTCCAATAATCCCATGAAGGGGATAGTATTATTATCACAATTTTACAAATGAGGCAACTATGACACAGAGAGAAAAATCAATAGTACCCACAATTTTCAACCCTGGAGTCATATTTATAATTCTCTTTGACCAAAAGAGAGAAAAGGGTACAAATATTGTAAGAGGAAGTAACCTTTAGATAATCATTTTGTCCATCATTTCTTCGACCGTATGCCATATGGGAAGATAAGGGACAAATCTCTGGTCGAATAAAGTCAGAGATCACTGCATATTCTATTTATTATCTCCCTTGGTCAGTCACAATTTCTGAACTGATTGAATTCCTTTACAAGTTTGTATCACTTTTAAACTCAAAATAAAACAAGTTTAATCATTAAAAAACTATAAAACATGCTAAAAAACATTTGAAAAGTGTTTTTCCTATCAGTTAAAAGTCTCCCTTCTGTAATTTCATATTTTTCTATTAGCTAAGCTTTGTTTAGCAAAACTACTAAGCAAAATGATTACTAGAGTAATTCAGGGGTTCACAAACTACAGGCCAAATCCAAACAGAGTATGTCTTTTAATTGTTTAAGGGTTGTAAAAAGAAATTTAAGAAAGAATGCATGACAGTTTTTTATGTAGTCCTGCAAAGCCTGAAATATTTCCTATCTGGCCCTTTGCAGAACAAGTTTGTCAACCCTTGAAATAAACACTGAAATGGCAGGTACAAAGTAAGGTTTACTTACACCACTTAAACAGGAGATTGTTTTCTCCATTCCACTAATGGAGTGACAAATTTACAAAACAATTAGATGGCAGTCAAATCTAAACGTTTACTGGTGTTGTAACTAAGTGTAGTTAGCTTTGGCAGGTGAAAATATCATTTTGTGAACTCAAGAAATAGAACTTATTTCTATAACAATTTAATTTCTATGGCTCGTTCTACTTGAGAGCTAAAAGTTTAAGTCAATTTGGGGTTTCCTTCTTTTTCCCAGGGTTGAGTGTAATACTGGGGGGACCCGGTCGCCCAGTACCATGCTTGCACGGCTGAGGCAGGCCCAGCCCTCCTGCCCCTCTGGGCAGCCCTGCTCCCACTCCTGCAGCCTCCTCAGGACCGTCCCCACCATTTCTTCGTTGCTCTGAGGCCACTCATGAAAGAGAAGCCTGTTTCTTTATACTTGCACAATCTATTGCCTGTAACAGGGCTAACATTTGCTTATTTCAAGTCCTACTCCTTCCCTAAGCTTAATAACGTATCACTCTAGCTCCACTGCATTCTTTTGTAATACCTCTTCATAGCGTTTGTTACATTATAATTTATTATTTTTGAATTTATTTGCTCCGTGGTTTCTAAGCACTTTCTGATAATAGGCACCATCTTGTTTTTTCATTTCTGTGTCTCCAGTTTATAGCAGTCTCTGATACATATTATGTACTTAAATATTGGTTCAAGTTAATGGATCAATAAGTCTTTCCCTAAGAGAAGGCTTTTCAGACCAAAAGTTCTGTCAACATTTGAATTATTGTACACATCAGGAATAAACTTAAATTCCCTTTTTCTTTTACTGAGCAGACTTGTCTTCTAGTATCATTTAAGATTTTGGGCATGTATATAAATATTTACACATACAAACCAGAGGTCTTTAAAAAGTTTCAGATAAACATAGCAGAAAGTAGAACTGGAACTGATGAAGATCAGATGTTATCAAGTTTGGTGGAACTTTTCAATCCTACAAAATCAGTAGCTGCTATCTAATGCCTGGAAGATGTAGGAGCTTGGATGTTTGCTAAGTGGAATTAGAAAAGTCAATTCATTTTGAGGCTCCTAGAAAGCCAGCCAGATTTCCCCTGGAGATCCCAAATTCTGTCTCCATGAATATGCCTTCCTATTTAAATTTTAGCAGACATTTGTTCCTTGTTAACATTCTTTTTGTAAGAATTTACAATGTTAACTTCCTTCTAAATTTCAGTGTTAGAAAAAAAACTATCTCTAAGCAAACTTGAGTGCTTTCTTTTAGAACATGTAAAAACTTTATCATCCATCATAGTCTTTTTGTCCCGGCTGCCAGGAAATTCAGACGTATTTACGTATAATTGCAATGACTATTTTATCTTCTGATAAAAGTTCTCCTTTAAATGACCTGATCTTTTTATCTTTAATGTCTTTGTTAGATTTTAATTTATTACTATGTTCATCCATTTTCAATATCTACTGATTTCCTGTAATAATTTTGCTTGCTTGACAGTTCCTCTTGTTCCCCTTTTCTCCCCACCTCCTGACATTTACATTACTATTCTGAAGCTGTGCTAGCTTTACCCTCATAACTTTATTGTTTTTTTAATCTTCACCCAAGGATGTTTTTGATTTTAAAGAGAAACATCTATGTGAGATAGAAACACACGCCTCCCACACGCACCCTGACAAGGACTGAACCCATAACCTAGGAATGTGCCCTGACTGGGAATCCAACCTGCAACCTTTCGCAGTAGCGGATGGCATGCCAACCAATCATACCATCCAGTCGGGACTACTGTCATAACTTTAATATGCTCATACCTTTCTTCTTGATTTCTCTCTGACTTCCCATCACCTGTCACATGCACTGAGGATATTAATACCGTCTCCCTTGTCTTCTTTCACCCACTCCTTCAATCATCTGATATGTATCCCGAATTTTACATTGTCAAGGTTGATACTGACATTGTCAATGTCTACTGTGCTCTATGGATTAATTCTAAGATAGCATATAACTATGTACACACCATTCACTGAAGAACTCAATAGTACACCTTAAAGACATTGTTTTCTTGTATTGCTTGTTTCCCTGGAGCTCCTGCTTTGCATTTTTTTTTTTTAATACAATATGCATTTTCATTTCCCTTGGTATAGTGGCACTACGACAGAAGTCAGTTCCAGGGTCGTCATTTTGCCACTACCTTACTGCACAACTAAGTAAATTAATCACTGTTTCTGCATGGAACACGAGGGCCTTGACCTTTCTCAGAAAGCCATCACTCTGAATGATCTCTGAATTTGGCATTTTCATAGGACTTCTAAGAAATGTTCTTCATTAGTGGAAGTCACAACACCTAAATCAGCTTCATGAAAATAAAAAGTTAAAGCCATTCCATATGATCATGAGGGGAAAAAAGTTGGTTAGAATGAAAATAAACTTCTAAATAGGAGGAAACAAATGTTTAAATCTAAGAAGAAAAAATACACTTAAAAAATATTAGCAAAATAGATCCTTTTGTAGTTCATAAGTGTGATGATTGGGTGCTCACGTTCTTGTGTGACATTTGCCTCCCATGAACCTTGTTATGATATCAGCATATTACCGTCTGATGTGAAAAGAAAAAAAAATAGCAAAATAAAAGCCTAAGAGGTTGGTTTGACAATCCTAGAAGTTATGAAGTGTACCTGTAGCATTCAAGATAAATATGGTAATACTTCCAAATTTCTAGGGAGCAAAATAAATATTAAAATAGGCTAAATATACATTCCCTTTCACCCAACTGCAGTTTATATAGGCTTAAACCATGTATTCAGGCTTGAAGCTTCTAACTAGCAAATTCACCTAGTGCCCAGCGAGGCACCAGGGATAAGGTGAAGAAACAGATGTGTTCTAGGGCTTGCAGGCATGGAAGGAGGCAGAAAAGACAGCAATAAATCACAACACACTGTACGGGATGCCCTATGAATACTGTAAATTACCTAACTTTGCCTGGGAGACTTAGAGACGTGGTATCTGCGGAGATAATGCTAAGGCTGAAATAAGAAAAATGAAGATTTTCTTCAGAGACAAGAGGAAGGGGAGAACCTAATAGGCAGAAGGAACAGTTTGACAGAGTGGGGATGTAAGAAATTAGAGCAACTTGGATAACGGTGAGACATTTGTTAGTTTGGCTCCTATGAACAGTGTGAGGATGATGAGAAAACTGGATGATCAAGTAAAAAACACACCAGAAAGAACTTATGTATGATGTGATGGCTTATAGGTTTCATCCTAAAGTTAATGAAGGCTTTGCATAGCAAAGGAATGAAATACTTGGATTTGTATTTTCATTACTGAGGAAAGAGTGAAAGGAGTTGGCACTTGGCAGAAAGTCCAGGGAGGAAGTTTAAGAACCAATGTTTTGAGAGATGCCGTCATGAAATACCACAAACTGGATGACTTAAACAACAATTTGTTTTCTTACAGTTCTGGAGGCTAGACATCCAGTATCAAGTTGCCGGCAGGATTGGATCCTCCAGAGGGCTTTCTCCTTCACTTGCAGACGCCTCCTTCTCTTCCCATGTTTTTTTCCTCCATGCTCACACATCTCTGATGTCTCTTCACCTCAATAGACGGGCACCAGTCATATTGGATTAGGGCCCCACCTAATGACCTCCTTTTACCTTAATTACCTTTTAAGAGCCCTATCTCCAAGTACAGTCATATTCTCAGGTGCAAGGGGTTAGGACTTACACATGAGAATTCTGGGGGGACACAACTCAGTCTGTAGCACAATGAGTGGCAGTAAGAATCGAGAAGAGGGGACAAATGGAAGGACAGCTAAAGAGGTAGAAATCAACATGGTTTGATTGAATGAGGTATACACAGGACATAAGATCTAGATTTTTGGTTTAGGCAATGTGGTACATGCTGGTATTATTTGTCAAAAAAACAAAAACCAACCAACCAACCCTGAATACAGGAAAAGGCTTGGTATACCTAGGAAAGTTAAAAGCTCAATTTTCAACAAGTTGCAACTGAAGTAGGAATTTCTAGTTAAAAGGAAAAGTAAAATGGAAACCAAGGGTGTAAGAGATTGGCCAGAAAGACCACGTAAAATGACAGCAGCAGGGAATGTAATCTTGGTGAATAACACTGAAGGAGCCAAACCTGAAGTCTGTGCGGGTATTCCTAGAGAGACAAATGATCAGGATAGAGCAACGCACCATGAACATTAAGGGAGAGAAGAATGAAGTGGGAGATGGTTGTTAATTCCTACGTCTTTTTCAGACACTTAATGGTATTTTATTTCAAGGATCATAATATGTGCTTTTCATGAGTTCTAATTTGCATAAGTTAGCAAACTCAGCTATCATGTATGATGATTTGTCCCTACTTAGAATGTATTCAAAATTCTTTAACAATAATATAGAGCTTTCCTTATACCTTTTGCAAATCCTAAATCTTTAGAATGAAAAAGATCTTTAAAGCAAAAATATGATGCTATATCTTAAACTCATCAGTAAATTGATTTTTTTTCAGGGTTAATTATTCTTGACAATACTCCCATTTCCGTTGGGATACAAATTTTGAGGTTAGTTACTATAACAATGTATATGCCTTATATACTGTAGAGGTGGTAATATCTAATTAGTTAATAGCTAAACAATAACAATATTACACACCTCGACTGTCATGGCCGTAGAGAACCAAGTAGCTAGGGCTTGCAGGCATGGAAGGAGGCAGAAAAGACAGCAATAAATCACAACACACTGTACGGGATGCCCTATGAATACTGTAAATTACCTAACTTTGCCTGGGAGACTTAGAGACGTGGTATCTGAGGAGATAATGTCTATCTGAATGGCACTAGCGTTTTAATGTGGAAAATAGAAAACAAGATGCATATGAGAGTAACATTTATTTATCAGCTATATTGTGAATATTATTTTTAAACAATCAGATATGGACATTTTAAAATTCCACATTACTCAGAGATCCAAAGGCACAGACACAAGAGATTTATTGTTTTTAAAAAGTGACAAAAGGGAATATTAATTCTGGGAGATTTTTAATCAAATTAACACTATGATACACTAGAGAAAAAGAATTCCACAAGCATTCCCACACAAAGCTGGTAGTTTTATATTTACACAGTATTATTACAGCAATTTTAAATGTTAATCTATAATACAGTGTTACTTCAGAAAACATAAAAAATATAGTTCTTTTAATAGCCATGCTCCCATTTTTGATGAAAGCTATCCAGTTCATCCTAATGTAGTTTAACACTTTAAAAATGCATGAGATATTGCAGTCAGGTTTACAGACTCTCTGAGCAGAGGCTGTCAGGCAGAATAGACAGAAGGCTCATCATCACTTATGTCTGAATCATCTTCATCAACTCCTTCAATCACTGATTTCTTCCCTTTACAACAGGACACAATTAATCCAATCAAGAATACCTGTGAATTTAAAAGAACTATATGTTATTTCTCAAATCTAAAGTCATTCAGAAAATAATGAATTTAAAATCCAATGGCATTACTCTGATGTAAACAAGCTGCTAAGGGTCAAATAATGCCTGGGATACCTGTACTTACCCCAAGAAAGGCCCAGTTACCAAAATAGTACGCAGCGCTAAAGAACCAGAACTTGTGAAGGAATAGGTAGGTCCGGGTAACAGTACACTGATCTATAAAAGCAAATAAAAAACTATTGTGAAATAATTTCTCTCTTGAAATGGACTATTACTACTATGTCTGAAAAGTTATTAAAACTAATAACCAAGGTCAAACAGTCAGTAAGTATTAGAGATGGGACTGAAACCTAGGTCTGCCTCCAAATCCCCCTCTTTCAATCAATCACCTATTATAGTTTAAATTAACAACTAATATGGTATATTTTTAAAAATGAATGCCACCAATGTAATTCTGGCTCTTATGTATAAAAAATTATATTGGCTAGTTTCATTTATTTAAAATAGAACAGCATTTTAACCAGGAGTGTCAGACATATTCTAAAACAAAACAGATAACGTTTTCGTAATGAACATTAAAAGAAAAAAATAATCAGATGTGGTTAGTAGTAAGCTGCACTTTTCTAAGCATCCAATTTTCAGGACGGTTCAAACTTCAGAGGTTCTTTGAGTTTTTTTTTCCCCTAAAAAATACAAAAATCATTATATACTGTACTGTGGGTAGCACTATAGCTTGAATTAAAAATAAATAATATACTTTTCTCTTTCCAAAAACAAAAATGTACCTCTTAAAGGGAAAGTGGCAGACTGGTTATTTGGTATTTGTGGCAGATACCATACTGGTTTTATCTGAATACATTATTTCTATTAGGTTACAATGTCCTCTATATATCTTGACACATATCTAGTAAATGATGTCTAAGAAAATGCTTGTTTATTAAAACCATTCATAAAGGTCTTGGTAGTACAATATAATGTAACTGGTTCAAAATTATATATGCTGCAGTTAATATAGGATTCCAACCTCACAAATTTTAGAGTGCCTTTATTCATTACAGAAGAAAATCTTTGCCCTGGCTGTTACGGGTCAATGGGCTGAGTACTGGCCTGCGAACTGAAAGGTCACTGCTTTGATTCCTGGTCAGGGCACAGGCCTGGGTTATTTGCCAGGTCCCCCACTGGGGATATGCAAGAGGCAACTGATCCATGTTTCTCTCACATATCATTGATGTTTCCCTCTTCCTCCCTTCCCCTCTAAAAAATAAATAAAACCTTAAAAAAAAGAAGAAAATCCTTATCTTACAAAGCAACTTCTTTTTAGTCTATTAATTGCAAAAGAGATTATGATTTCCGCATATTTTTATCCAAAATAGACAGTGGCAAAAAAATTTTGTATGCAATTAGGAGACCAATATCACGTCCTATTGCTAAGAAAAGGCACTGTTGATTTCTAATTTTATGAGCGCTCTTAGCTTCAATAAATAAGTACTATTTTCTCTTAAAACATAACCAGCAACACTGAAAGAAAAAATAAACCGACAGTAACTGGGGGGGGGGTGGGTAACGGGGGAAAGAAGGGGAAGGGTTAAGTCAAGGAACACGTATAAAGGACCCATGGACACAGCCAAAGTGGGGAGGGATTGAGGGTGGGAGGTGGGGGTCGGTGGGGCAGGGGAAAGTGGGGGCGGGAAAATGGAGACAAATGTACTTGAATATTAAAAAAATAAATGAAAAAAATGAAAAAAAAATTGAGCTGGGAATTTCGTAGTCCAGTTCATTACACAAAGGATCTGATACACTTTATTTTTTTGGCCATCACATGGTTTTCTGAAAAGTAGCATTTAGGTTATATTTTATCAAAATACAGGACCCATTACGTAAAGCTTTAGATATTACGGAAATATTTAGGTACTCTAAATCTTACCTATTCTAACTCCTTCTACTGTATTTCATCATTTACTTTTATTGCTCAATACCAAACTGCACAAAACACTTCAACAGAGAAGCAACTTCTTCCTCTCATAAGCAAGGACCACTGATCTAATGCTGATCTAATGTATCCCTCTGGAGCCTCCTTTGTATTCTTTGCTCTCTTTCTCAACAGAAAAGCCTAGAATGAATATTCAAAGCTACCTAAGAAAAACCAAAAAGGC